TTTATCATAGATGGCTATTCTGTATTTTTAATTATAAATTACATTTTAAAATGAGCTGCATAGGGGTGGGGAGGGGTGATGGAAGGGCAAGAAATAGGGGGTGAGAACATAGGGAAATGGGAGGGTTGAGCTGGAGCAGGGACAGAGTGGGAGAGCAGGGAAGGAGATAACCATGATAGATGAAGACATCATGGGAGTGGGAAGAGGCAGAGTGCAGGGGAAGCTCTCAGGAATCCACAGGGATGACCGCACCTTGGACTGCTGGCACTGATCGAGGGGGTGCCTGCGCTGGTCTACTCTGGTGACTGGTCTAGTGACTACCCCAACTATCATCCAGTGACTGATGGAGGTAGATACAGGGATCCACAGCTGGGTACCAGGCTAAGCTCCAGGAATCCAGTTGATGGGAGAGAGGAGGGATTCTGTGGGCAGGGGACATCAAGATCATGATGGGAAGATGTGCATAGATGACCAGCCACACTGGTGGAGACCCATGAACTGTAGACTAGTGGCTGTGGAGCCCCCATGGGACTGGATTAGGCCCTCTGGATATGGGAGACAATTGTTTAGCCTGAACTGTTTGGGGGGACACCTGAGCATGGGGGTAGGGGATCAAGATCCATCCCTGGTACATGGGCAGGCTTTTGGGAGCCTGGAGCCTGCGGTGGGGCAGCTTGTGTAACCTTGGTGTGGCGGGGAGGGCCTTGGACCTGCCTTGGTTCCATGTGCTGGGCTCTACTGACTCCCCATGGGAGACCTTGATTTGGAGGATGTGGGGATGGGGGGGTGAGGGGTAAGAGGAGGAAGGAGGTGGGATCTGTGGGTGGTATGTAGAGTGAGTAGAAAATTTCTTAATTAAAAAAAAATGAGCTGCATAAACACAATACCCCAAACAAGAGTAGAAACATATAACAAAATTAACTTTAAGTTTCTATCAATAAACCATACCAATCTATCAATAAAAAATCCATACCAATGAAAAATATTTTGAGATTAATAGTTGTTTTTTGGATTAAAGTAGATTCCATAATAAAGCCTTTTATTTCATCATTTCTATATTAGATCCCCCTTTTTTTCTTTAGAAAGATCTTTGAATTTAACTCCTTTGTTTAGCCTTTTCCTTGACTATGACCAATTATAGTTTGTAACCAACCCCCATCCCAAATGATGACAAATATCCATAACCCATCTTTTGAGAATACAAGCATTGTTTTTTCTAGAGTGCTTCCTGTTGTCTTGGAATGCTGGCATCTTTGGGGAACCCTGAAAAAATTCAAGATAATGGTTAAGTCCTGACTGGAGTAGTCTGTGAGGCTGGACCATCTCATCCAGCAGCCTTGAAGCTGTTCTGGATGGAGAACTCTGAGGAAATTATAACAGAGGCATTTTAAAATGCTGGATCACCTGGGCCATTTGTTTTCATTGGTGTTTGGACCCTTGTTCTGAAAATACACAAACCTTTAAAGGAAATATACATATCTGCATTAATGTAAGTATAGACTGTGTGTTGTACTAAAGCCAGCCAAAAATGAGCTGTTTGAGCAGGTAAAATATACATCATATATCTTGTAGTTTTTTTAGGTTTATTTGTTTATGTTTCAGAGGGGTCTTCCTCGATCAAACTTAATCTTTATCAACCTTAAATCAATCCACAGCCTTCCATTTTCTGTGGGAACAAAAGCACAACCTCTTCCCCAAAGCAACATATCTTTTGACTTCCTTTGTGAAGTCAAGACATTTTAAAAATATACATTGGTTTAATCCAGCAACTTTACAATCCAATGTCTCTCAGCAGCTATTGTTTGTTCATCAGCATTCAAAAACTTCAAAGACAACATAATAACACACAGGATCCAGACTCCTGTGTATTTTCCATCTTTACATGACTTCTCTCTTTTATATTACTTTATTTCTTGTTAAAGGACTTTTTTAAACTATTTTTTTCTATGACTGTCTATATCCTTTCTCCTTTCCTTCTCAAGCCTATTTACATCTTTAAACACACTGTAACCTGTTTAGAGATTTCTTTTGTCTGGGTCTGTCTTTATTGAGCATCTGTAGTGTTCTTTGATTGCATGAGACAAATCTTAAATTGCTATGTCAGCTGCTGGCATGGTCAGCTTAGTGCATAGTGCTGGTGCATGATGGCTGGTGGCTGGCTCCATCCTGCACACAGCTGCTGGGAGATGCATCTCTGTATTGTGGCTGGCATGAGACTGTGAGACTAGGAAGCCATGTTAGGCTCCATTTTTGTATATTTGGAACCTTTTCTTAAGCTTTCTCAGTTTTTATGTGGACATACATGGCCAGATTTGTGGCACCATTTGTAGGTAGGTGTAGCTGGAAGTTTCTCCAGTCCCACCTGGCCCTGAGGTCTGGATGAATCTCTCCCACCCTTGGTCCCACAGCCCATAAAATAATTACATAGAGGCTTAATATTAATTACAAACTGTATGGCCTATAGCTCAAGCTTCTTGCTAGCTAGCTCTTATAATTTAACTAAACTCATTTCTATTAATCTATGTATCACCACATTTTCCGTGGCTTTACCTGTGTCTCATTACATGTTGCTGTTTGGACGGTGGGCTGCTGTCTTCCAATTCCACACTTCTCTCTTTATCTCTACTTGGATTTCCTGCCTGCCTCTAAGCTGTATTGCCATAGGCCAAAGCTGCTTTATTTATTAGCCAATGGGAGCAACACATATATTCACAGCATACAGAAAGATATCCCACAGCAGGTGGGGTTTTTCTTTGTGACCGCCAGCTCCCCAATAAACAACATGGAGACTTATTATTAATTATAAATACTCAGCTGATAGCTTAGGCTTGTTATTAGCTAGCTCTTACAACTTAAATTAACCCATATTTCTTATCTACACTCTACCATGTGGTGGTACCTTTTTTCAGGATACATGCTCATCTCCTGTTTCCTCTGCATTTGGCTGGTGACTCCGCCCCTCTTCTTCCCAGTCATTCTCTCAGTTTGGATCTCCTGCCTACCTCTTCTTGCCTAGCTATTGGCCAGTCAGCTCTTTATTAACAATGACAGGAACACATCTTCACAGTGTACAAAAGGATTATTCCACAGCAGCCCACTGAGACATCTTAGCCTTCCTCCTGGCTCACTTATTTGGCTAGGCTGGCTTCTGGTCAACCTAGGACTTCCTGTCTCTGCCTTCCCAGTGTTGGGGTTACAGGCACATACCACCATGTACAGCTTTCTGTGTGGATATTGGGGATTCAAATTCAGGTTCTCCTGCTTGTAAGGCAAACACCCTATGAACTGAGTTTACTGGCTAGTTTTATGTCAACTTGACACAAGCTGGAGTCATCTGAGAGGAGGGATCCTCAATAAAGAAAATGCCTCCATAAGATCGGCCTGTATGCAAGCCTGTGAGGCAATTTCTTAATTAGTGATTCATGGGGAAGGGATCAGCCCATTGTGGGTGGGGTCATCCTGGGCTAGTAGTCCTGATTCTATAAAAAAACAGGCTGAGCAAGCCATGGAGGGCAAGCCAGTAAGCAGCACCTCTCCATGGCTTCTGCCTCTGCTACTGCCTCCAGGTTCCTGTATTATTTGGGTTCCTGTCCTGTTTCCTCAGATGATGAGCAGAGATGTGGAAGTGTAAGCCAAATAAACCCTTCCCTCCCCTTGAATAAAAAAAAGAAATAAAAAGGAAAGGACATGGCTACTCCTAGGTATGGTAGAGGAAAAAATTTATTATGGATATGTGGGAGAACGTAGCCAGAGGCAGGGACATCTGGGAGTGTCCAGGGCAGATAAGGACTCTGAGCCAAGTAAGGAGGCCAGGGGTGAGGTGGGGTGGGGTGGGGTAGGGTGGGTGGGAGTTCGGGAGTGGTGCATGGACTACACCAGACACAGCAGCCAGGAGGTCCAAATCAAGTAGACATATAGCCAAAATGGTTGGATTATATAGGGAAGGGCAGCTGGGAGAAGAGCAATCCAGCCTCTGGCCTGGAGAGTTCAGAGTAGTGGGTGGGGTATGCTAGCCAGGAGGGTCCTGTTAACAGATAGGGACTGAGAGGTGTAGGGAGAACCTGGTGGCCATTGTCCACTGTGATATGTTAAATAGGCACCTCACCTGTTTGTCCCAGGTTTGAAACCTAAGACTCCCCAATTGTTTTGATCATGGTGTTTCATCATAGCAATAGAAACCCAAATAAGACACTGTGCTCTCTCCCCAGCTCTCCAGAGTGTGAGACCAAAATGAGCCATCTTAGAAATGCTTTCACTCAAAAATTAAGGCCTAAGATTTCTCCTTTTGGGAATAGGCCATTAGTTACTGAAACCAGTCAGTTCAGATTTCAGAAACCAGGAAGTGTAAAAGTACAGAGTCACAAGATAGTCACGAGGTAATGCCTGCTGGACTATGGAATGTCCTCTCCCTGGTTTCCAGGGTAACTGGCCACAGAAATGCCCCCACCTGAGGGCAGCCAATGAGAAATGGTGGTGGGTAACCACTCCCTTAGAAGTAATTTCTAGAAGTCCCTAGAAGCGAGCCAATCAGAATTGTACCCGTACTAGCACGCCTAAATGATGTAACCTTGTGACTTTTCCCTTTAAAAACTGAGCTTGCAGACAGGTGGACACTTCCTCCAGCCTCCACTGCGTTGGATGTATTGGACAAAGTCCCTGCCTAGGCTTGTATTGCTTTTGGATATCCAGAATTAAACCTTGCTTTTGCATTCCGGCATGCTCGTCTTTGGTGGTCTCTCTGGGGGTCACGATCTGGGCACAACACAGAGGACTTTTTATTTAAGTTCTATCCTACTCAACATTTTCATCAATGAACTTGTATGAAATTGAAGAAGGTTTACCTATGGAGCAAAACAAAAAGCAGTTTGCTCTTTGTAGAATGTTCTCCAGGGGTTCATGCTTCTGGGAGGTGAGAGGACCTTTAGGAAGCGGTGAATAGTGGGAAGCCTTCCAGTTAGTTACTGGGAGCATGTTCCAACTCCCCTCTTCCTTTCTTTCAGACCCTGGCCACAGATGCATGGCTTTGTTGTGTGCTGCTCATCTGCCACCAGAGGCTTCATGCCGCATGTGTCTGCAGACATGACCCGGCACCTCCAAACTGTGAGCCACAGTGAACTTGAAGTTAACACACACTGAATGGCATCTAACACAGGGAAGCAGCGAACCAAAAGCAATTCAGAAGCAAACACTGGGGAAATTATTAATTGATAGACAGACCCTCATGTAGCACAAGCTGGCTTCAAACTCATTATGTAGCCAAGGATGGCCTTGAACTTATGATCCTCCTGCCTCCCCGTCTCTAGTGCTGGGGTTACTGGCTTGTACCATCATATCCAATTCTGTTTGGTGCTGGGGATTGAGCATAAGGTCTGTGTTTACTAGGCAAGTCTTCTGCTAACCAAGCCCCAGGCCAGGAACGTGCACCTTTAAATGCCGAATGTTGGGGCTGGAGAGACAGCTCTGTGGCTAAGAGCATTGGCTGCTCTTGCAGAGGACCCAGATTCATTTAGTTCCCAGCACCCACATGATGGCTCACAACTACCTGTTACTCCAGTTCCAGGGGATCTAACAGCTGTTTCTGGCCTCTTTGGGTAGTAGGCATCCACGTGGTACATACACACATATGCAGACAAAACACTCATATACATAAAAGTAAAATAATTTAAATGTGGATTGTTTTACACAGTAATTCATCCTTGTGAGACCTCGAGTGCAGAACAGACTCTTGAAGGAGTCAACACATTCAAGACTTATATGTTAACTCAACAAGAATTAAGACAAGAACTTCACAGCTCCCAGACTAGCTCACCTCCATTCTTGCACAGTTTGCTTCTCAGGAACGAGTTCCCTGCCCACCACCACCATTACAATGCAGAGCACAGGAACACCAAAACCAAAAGAATAGGAACTGAACTTCCGGAAGCCAGTGTGAACTCCAAATTAAAAGGTCGAGAAGTAGATATTACTGTCATCACTAGGAAGTGAAACCAATAATGCAAAAACCAGGGAGACGGGCCATCTCTGCTGTCAGAGTGCCCTCTGCTGTGGAGGGTCTTTTCCTCTTCATGCCTGCTGTGAGCAAGTATTTCCTCACCCCCAACAAACACCTTTCTTTAATGGCTGATTCTGTTGGCTGCTGTCTGTGGTGTCTGAGATTTCTCTGCTGCCATCTCTTGTACTCCAGACTCTTCCGGCCTTTTAATTCTTTAACTGGAAGAGAACAATCTCAAGCAAGATCCCTGGACTGTGTCATTTCAGAGGCTCTTCTTGGGTTTCTTCTGAAGATGGTATCAATTTGGGATCTTGTCTTGGGATTTCTTTTGAGGACCACTGACTCATGGAGATGCTACTCGTATGATAAGCTGCAGAGATGCATACCATCACCAAATGGCTGTCTTATGCTCTGGATCACTGTCATCACTTAAGTTTTATTGTGGCTCCTTAGAGAGACCCTCCTCGAGGCACGCTGACTGCTGCCTCTCTATCAGTTCAAGGCAGTCAAGACCTCAGAGCAGTTAGGGTGACCTCTGAGAGGGCAGAAGGAAAGACTAGGAGTTCAACAGACTCCCTGGTAGACAGAGAGGGAAGAGGCCTTGGCTAGGTAAATAACAAATTTCCAAACAAACACACAAAAAACAAAACCATCACAAGCAATGATCTGAATCTGAACTTACTTTTTATTTTGCTTGAATAAAGTACCTAAGTTAAAAATCCAGAGTTGAATAGACACAGTTCTTTTCCCGGTTGATCCGATGGGAAATTGTTAGGTTCTGGGCAGGTCTTGAGGTGACTGCAGATACACAGGTCTGCTTTCAACTCCAGGCACCCTTCCAAATTCATTAAGATCTGAACCGATGCCGGTATCACTGAGAAGACGGTGCTTCTCTGCTTGGCATTCCATGAGCCATCTCAGATAAGTAAAGCTAGATATGAATGTGGGGTTGTGCTGTGGGATGGTCTGTATGTCAAATGCTCTGACTGGTCAATAAATAAAACAATGATTGGCCAGTGGCCAGGCAGGAAGTATAGGCGGGACTAACAGGAGAATTGAGAGAACAGGAAGGTGGGAGGAGATACTGCCAGCCACCATGACAAGCCACATGTGAAGATGCCGGGAAGCCACAAGCCACGTGGCAAGGTATAGATTTATAAAAATGGATTAATTTAAGCTGTAAGAACAGTTAGCAAGAAGCCTGCCACGACCATACAGGTTGTAAGCAATATAAGTCTCTGTGTTTACTTGGTTGGGTCTGAGCGGCTATGGGACTGGCAGGTGAGAGAGATTTGTCCTGACTGTGGGCCAGGCAGGAAAACTCTAGCTACGGGGTTGAGGGTGTATTTTCAGCTTCCCAAATGAAGTAAAGAAAAAACAGTGTGGGAGCGATAGAGCAGTTACAGTGTGAACACCCTAGGGCTATTGAGTCCCACAAAGAGGAAAGTGTTTGTTGCACAAGCCTGGGCTCATTTGCTGGAGCTCCCGTAAAGGTGGAAGGAGAGAATGAACTCAACAAATTGTCCTCTGACCTCCACAATGGTGTTGAGGAAAATGTAGGCCAACACACACACACACACACACACACACACACACACACACACACTACATACAGAGAGATACACAGACACATATACACACTACATACTACATACACAGACACACACACAGACATACACACAGACACACACTACATACACACAGACACACACATACATACACACACACTATATATATATATATACAGAGACACACAGATATACACATACATATGCTAAATAAACAGAAAGGGGTAATAAACCCCCCCCAGAAATAGACTGCATAATGCTCTATTAACTTTGAATTTTCTCAATGCTAATGAGAAAGGAACAACAGTTGCAGAGAGACATTGGATAATAGAAAAAAAAACTACAGAATTGAATCAGCCTATATACTTTAAGGATGTACTGACCTCAGAATGGAAACCAGGATATGTGTTACGTTGGGGACGAGGTTTTGCTTTTGTTTCTACAGGAGAAGATAAGCTGTGGATACCATCAAAATTGATAAAGGTTCGATTTGAACAAGAGAGACCTCTTAATTAGAAGAGGTGATAATTCATCAACCAGCATGACCATCCAATTTAAACTAACTTATACCATTAACACATGCCTTTTCATGTAATCAGATATAACTTGCCAAAAAGAAACCTCCTCAAAGTTAGTCTTGGGGAAAGGTTTTTGTTTTTGTCTTTTAGGAGAATGAAGGCTAAGGAATCTGAAGAACACTGGACACATGAAACAACTGAAGAAAAAGGACAAATCATCTAAAAAAAATGTCCCAAGAAAACGAATAAAATGGCCTATTGGTATATCATCTATAAAATTTCAAAAGTCTTCCTAAATATTTGTTTCTTCTCTCCTTTAAAGACATTTAACACTAATGGTCTTCTTGTAGTCCCAGTTCAATTAAAAATTAAAGCTGGCTTTGGAGTTGGAGAATGGCTCTCTCCTTTAAACCCAAGCATGTTGTTAAAAGGAAAATGCAAACTCCCTGTATCATGCCAGAAGAAAGAGCCATCTTCTGATAGGAACAGGAGAAAAAACAGAAAAACAGAAAACAAAAATTTAAGGGACTATTCTATTGCTACTAATCTCAGTTCTTTGATTTTATTCTGATTCCTTAAACTTTTCTTAAAGTATGAATTTTATATCAAAATTTACAAGATTAATATATATATATATAAAGCTTTGTTAAGATATTAATGGTCATATAGAGTACTAATTCTAGAAAAAAGGCTTCAATTAGCTGCCTATGCATGTCTTTGTGTTTGAGTCTCTATCAGTTTTCTGCAGGAAATAACGGCCAGGCCTAACATCAACTGAAGTCTCCAGGAATAAGATGGGGCCCCATGACAACAATTCCACATGGACAATAATAATATTACTAAGCTGACAAACATCATCTACAGATTAGCTTTGGACTACAAACTGTTCAAGGCAATTTAGAGATGGGTAGCTGAGATGATCCAGTTTCACAGACTACTTGAATAAGGGACTTGAGATAAACCCTGAACTTTGGCATTATGCACAGACTGGATAACAAAGGATATAGTTACCTTCCTTAGAATTTGACAATTAACCCAAATTTATTCTTTTCAGAATAAAGATACCTTCACCCATATCCAGCAGGAAGCAATTTTAAGAACATGATGCCCACATTCCCAAAGAAGTGGTGTGGGGTGGGTAGTTTTGGTCTTTTAATGGGTTTTGGGCCTGAGGTAATTTTCATTGTTTAGGAGGGTTGGTTACAAGTGTTTATTAAGGGTTAGGAAAGGGGCTAAGTAAAGGAGATTAGATTTAAGCTTCTTGTTTTTTAAAAAAATTATATTTGTATATATATGATAGAATAGAGGGCAGATTATTGAATCTACTCTGAAAAGTAAAGAGAAGCTATAGATAAAATGATAGATTATTGAATATACTTTTAAAAGACAATTACTAGTTTTAAATATTTTACATTGGATTGGATTTTTATATATTGTATACAAATTATATATATTGAGATTGATATTGTTAGAAAATGCTATACATATATTTCTAATCTTGTTCAAGATATTGTACTTATACTGTTCATTTAACAATGTAATGCAATTTGCTGATCCTTGGATGTTATTGTTACCAATTATTAGGATATAAAGAAATGAAAGTTAGTAGTTAGACATTACAATCGAACTTGTAGTCATATTAGGTATGTTTTCAAGATGGAGCAGATATATTTTAGATAGACAGGTCATCTTCAAATCCTTCAGAGATCTATAGAATATAACATTTAAAATGTTTTAATAACTTAGAATTTTTTTCTTTTCTTATGACTATGAGACATGTAGGCTCCTGGCAGTACCAATCTACTTCAGAGAAAATATGGGCATTGAAGAAACTGCATATGGATTTAACTTTCATTGTGGCAAAAGTTAGCCACTGGACAACAAAGTATCCTCGAATGACTGTTGACAAACAGGACAAAATGGACGGACAGGACACGAAACAAAGGACTACCAATTCTTGCCAAGACAAGTGGGGTTATGGCTTTAACAAAAGGCATCTTCTGAGGCCAGGACAATATGGCACCATCCCTGAAGTGGCCTTCGCAATCCGGAAAAGGTACAGTGCCCCCTTCTTCGAAGGCAGCTGAACTGGCAGTGGACCGGTGGCTTCTAGTATGCAGTGGAACAGCAGCTGAAACAGTTATTCTTGAAAGAGTAACTAAGCTGACAGAGTCTAACCTCTCAATGATAGACTAGCATTTAATAAAAGAGATGAAGCCACCCACAAGCCGAGAAGAATGGGATGCCAAGATGAAGCCACATACAAGCCAAGAAGAATGGACACCTGAATTAAAAAACAACATCAACAATTTCCAGAATTTAAAATCCTGAATCATGACAGGACACTAGTGGAATTCAGGTGTTTCTGGTACATGGACTGCTCTCACCAAATGTGAGGTCGAACTGTTGGCCTTGTGTACATCCTACTTCACAAATGAGTCTGTCAGATATGCTAAGCCTATAGGCTGAAGATGATGCCCCAACACTGTGTAGAAACCTTGGGTGACTGTCCAGGCAGCTGGCTGTTTCTGTCAACTCACATTTTTTTGGAAGTTGCTTGTTTGCACTTCCTGGTTTTTTTTTAGGTAATATTATTTCCTTGTTGGGTCTCTGAGGGAGCTGATAGTTATAGTTATGGTTGAAGATTAGATAGTTATAGTTGAAGATTAGATAGTTGTAGTTATAGTTTCCCTTGTTAAGAATTTCAGAAAAGAAACTCACTAAAGAGGTGTAAGTGTATAAATTTGAAAGACATTATAAGATAGTTCTGTTAGTAATATAAGTTAGGATAGAAAGTGAATCAGGTACATTTTGTAATTACCAAAATAGGATAGATAATGGAATTATTTTCTCTGAGTTTGTCTAATGCCAATGGACTAGACATTGTTTAGGTATTTATTGCTTGTATATATTGTATATAGTTGTTATACTTATTGTATATAGTTTTTCTTATATTAGTTATAACTTTTTTCCTTTTTTCTTTTTATTAGAATAGAAGGGGGAAATATGGTGTGCTGTGGGATGTTCTGTATGTCCTGTGGGAGCCCGTTCTTAGGTTCCTTGTGGCTTTACCCAGCAGGTCCACATAGAGGATGATTAGGACCACGGGCCTGAGTGCAGGTGTCTGAGA